CTGGAGAAGGATATCATGCTTGGTAAGATGGAGGGTCAGAGAAAAAGAGGAAGAACCCCAATGGATTGGCCAAGTGGCAGGCAGCATCGATGGACTCAAGTGTGGCAACAGTAGTGAGGCTGGCCCAGGATCGGACATTGCTTCATTCTGCTGTGCATAGGGTCGCTGTAAGTCGGTGCCGACTCGATGAAACCTAACAACAACAACATCCTTCAGGTCAATACTGGACTCAAGTCTCTGATCTCTAATTCAACTTCCTATTTTCCTAGTAAACAGATTTCAAAATGAGATTAAATAAGCTGAAACAATATGGGTTTCTTGATGAGCAGGCATGGATTACCAAGGATAAGAGGCACGGAGATTATGGAGTGCAGAGAGCTGGGCAGATCTCCAAGCACAAAGGTTGGAAAGACAGGACGGTCATCAGAAAAGGCCCTGCGAGAGAAGCCTGCCCTCACCGTGGCCTTGTACTGCTGCTCTGCGAAATCCCTTCTTCTCTGCCACAAATGGGCCCGGGCCACATTGTTCTTCAGAGCTCGGAGGCAAAAGGTCTATGAAATGAAGAAAGGGCATGCCAATTACAAAATCATAGCAGAATACAATATCACGTCAGGCAATGGCAGGCAGTTGCCCACATCAGGCGGAGAGCAGCCCGGTTACTGCTACCATCACACCACAGGGCTTCTCTCTTTGGGATGTAGCGCTCAGTTGCACTCACTTCAGTCTGCAAAGTAGGCCCTTCAACATACTGTGGACTCAGATGCGCTCTCTGGTCTGTAGAGACCCCCATGCCGATGAATGCCAGGGAGGTCGGCGTGCACGTGTGTATAATTATTAAAGCAGTTTTGCTAGAGAATAGAAAGAACCCTTGTGGGGGTAAGGTCAGACATGCACTCACAGGCCTTATGTGACCAAAGCACAGCAAACTCCCAACCCCCAACTAGGAGCCTATTTTCTGAAAGAGAATGAAGGGATTGGACAGGATGGGGGCTCTCACATTGTGTTCTGTGGGAGACCAACTCATGTGGTGAGGGTTTAAGCACAGCATGCTTACTTTGTTCTGCTTTACAGACTTGGGACTACACTGTTTAAAATAAATCCCTGAACGAGAGCTTATTTGTGGTTCCTATACAACTCCAAGCCCTCTAACCCCACACCTTTACTACCTTTGATTCAAAATGAAACAGGGACACTCACAATGAGGGAGGGAGAGCCAGTGGGTGCCGCTCTTACCAGCAGGTGGCGCCGGTGGTGCTCCTCTGCCATCTCACATTGGGCAGCAGCTTCTGCACACATCAGCACATCTGCCAGGAAGTTAAGGCCCCTCATGTCAACAAGGTTCCCACCTGCACTCAAATGTGATGCCTTAGTTTCTTACCTGAAGAGTCAATGCAGTACGTAGAAACCGGCATGCCAGGTAGGCCTATTTCTACCTCTCTCCCCTCCTGATGAGATACTGAAGGATAAGCGCTGGACTGCTAACAAGGTTGGCGGTTAAAACACCAGTTTTTTAACCTAAAGAGGGTCGCTGAGAGCTAGAATCAACTCAGTGGCACATAGTAATCACCCTTCCTGATGACCCCAGAGAGCTGAGGGCAAAGGTGAGTTCTCAAACAGTTGGCCTTGCCTTTCTTCTCCCAATTCCCATTTGATGAGCAGAAAAATAAGTTGGTCATAAATTCCAGTAGTAACCATTTCAAAAGCAGCATATAAAAAACAGCCTACTCTTCCTCAGTAATTTTAAGCATCACAATCTCATTAGTTGTTTGAGCTAAAAATCTTTTCTTCTTCCATTCCATCTAATCAGTCATCTGCTCTCCTAAATCTCTCCTGTATTCATCTCTTCAGTTGTTTCCCCACCTGACACCTTGTAGTTCATCTAGTTCGGTTCAAGCCCTTGTCCCTCAACAAGCTGGTCAGAGAAGTTTATCATGTAACTGGTTTCCTTCCTGTAACCGGGAATCATCTTCCTAAAGCATAAATCTGACAGCATCAGTTCTTCCGAAAACCTCCAGAGGATCAAGGCCTAATTCCTGACCACCACACACAGGCCTCTACAGGCTGGTCCCCGGGACCTACTTGCCCTGCATCTGCTCCACCACCATCCCAGCCTCACATCTTACTCCAGACTTCCCATCATCACCCTTGGATATTTCTCTCACCTCTGCGCTTGTGCCAGTGCCATCCCTGCTACCTAAAACGTCCAGCTGGGTGGACTTGTCATCTTCCTAACACTTAAATTCAGCTCAAACATCAACTGCCATGGCTGAACTGCCCCACAGAGTCCTCAAATACAAACCTTAATGTCCACACTTACCACATCATGTTGTAAAGGTCCACAATTGCATATCTGTTTTCCTCACTAAACAAAGTACTACTTACTGTTGTTTTTGTTAGGTGCCATAGAGTCAGTACCAACTCATAGTGACCCTATGCACAAGAGAATGAAACACCACCTGGTCTTGGGCTAACCTCACAATTGTTGCCACATTTGAGCCCACTGATGCTGCCACTTTGACAATCCATCTCTCTGGGGGTCTTCCTCTTTTTCTCTGACC